GAGCGCCGAGGCCAATGCTAGTGCTCAAGGATCTCCCACTTCCAGGGATTCCTAAGCAGCCGAGCTGATCTGTGTCCCCAGAGCCCCTGCACACATCTCTCGTCTCCCTGCCGCCCACGGTAGATTGTGTGTACACGTCAGCAGCACATCAAATCCACTCAGTGGAAAGCAGCACATTCCTCGGCTCGGCCACGGGGCAGAAATGACATGCATGACAGGAGCGAGACCAAGTGCTGCGGCTTGCATAGGTCTCAATCCAGAGGAGAGTGTGTGTGTTTGTTGCACGACTGTTGCGATGTCCGCCACTATCGCATTCATGTCAAATGACTGGCTGTGTTTAGACTCGTTCCAGAGGACTGGAAAGGCTTTGCCGGGTGCATCTGGGTTAAGATTCACGACTTTGAGGGCCTCTCGCAATTGGGGCAAAAGTTTAACTGTTATTGGTATTGGGTCGCCTCACCATGACCACAATGACCCTGTGGGGCCCCTGGGCTTTCATAACGTCCTGTGTGCAAGTTAGATGTCGGCGGATCTTAACATCTGTCACTGTTCACAAACTAGAAACAGGGCAACTTGAGTTTATGAACAAATATTAGCAACTGACTAACCTACTGACCTACTGTCTGGATGAGATTACTGTGTTGTCATCTTAACCTTGTTACTTATATATATATATATATATATGAAGAGTTCAGATGCAAAAGCCTCTAAATGCCATTTGAAATTTTCTTCTTTAATGATGATTTTTGTCAAACTTGTATATTTAAGTTCAGTAATTTCACTTAAATAACAATTAATAGGTAATTATCATTGCCATTGAAGTGAAATTACTGAACTTAAACATACAAGCTTGATAAAAATGATCATTTTAGAAGAAAATTTCAAATGGCACTTAGAGGCTTTTGCATCTGAACTCTTCATATATATATATATATATATATATATATACTGTATATATATATAAGAGCTGTCAGTTAAAAGCGTTACATCGCAAACCCATTTTAAAGCGGTTAATATTTTTAACCTACTAATGTGTGATTAATTGCGATTAATCACGAGTTAACTATGCTTAATGCGGTTAATCATGATTAAATATTTTAATTGTTTGACAGCACTAATATATATATATATATATATATGTGTGTGTGTGTGTGTGTGTGTGTGTTATTCATAATTATTTTTTCAAATATGTTAAGAAATAATATTTGTATAAGAGCGGTCAGTTAAAAGCATTATTAACGGCGTTAACGCAAACCCATTTTAACACGGTTCATTTTTTTATTGCAAGATTTAACAGTCTTCACTGTGAAACCCATTCATTTCATTGGCTAAACCGCATACTGCGGTCAAATTTCAAAATAGTTCAACTTTTGCCGCTGTGACGATTACCAGCGTGCCCAATAGAAACTTTTTGGCATCCAAAAAGTTTTGAAAACTGGCTTAGTGCCACATATTCCACGTCCTGTCTGAAAGCACCAGATCTAGCTAGACCGGAAACACACTTGTTGCGAGCCGGCCAAATAGTAGGTTAACGTTGCGTTTTGAGTGGATGACGAGCGCGAGACGCCGAAATGGATGCCAATAAGATTCTGAATAGAAAGTGTACTTTTAAAAAGTTGCCAAATGATGTTTTTCACACACACACACACACAGCTGATGCGAATTCTCCGCCCCCTTGTCAAATATCAGGACCTCGTCAGTATTTCTTTCACCCTTTTATTGATAAGATTGAGATTAGTGTGAGAAATTGTGAGAATGTTTTAATGTGAAATTAAACACAGTATTGTCAATGTTGTTTTCAATAATAAAAAAAAACAAACATTTGCACAAAGCAAGCCGATCCACTTTTTCATGTTGATAAGAGCATTAAAATTAGAAAAAATAATGCGACAAAAAGACATTTAGAATAGATAAAAATGTGTGATTAATTGTGATTAATCACGAGTTAACTATGCCATTAAAGCGATTAATCGTGATTAAATATTTTAATCGTTTGACAGTATATATATATGTTATTAAACAATAATTATTTTTAACAAATATGTTAAGAAATAATATAATAAAATATTATGCGGTAACACTTTAGTTTAGGGTTCAATTCTCACTATTATCTAGTTGCTTATTAGCATGCAAATTACTATGATATTGACTGTTTTTTAGTACTCATAAAGCTCATATTAATGCCTCATTCTGCATAACCATATTCTACATCCCTAGTCCTACCCAATTCATAAACTTAACTACCTTAGTCAAAAGGCAAAAGTAATAGTTAATAGTTAGTAAAAGTTCAAATTGTGACCGATTATGCCAAACTACTAGATTTTCTTAATCTTCTTTTTTTTTTTTTTTTACAAAACACAGTATAGAAAGGGTGTATTGAAGTCATTTCATGTACTAGTTGAGCTTTGTATGTATTTCTAAATGCATTAGACCCGACAAAGGCGGAGCACCATATGTTTTAGCACCACGCTGTAATGGAGAAAATCTGATGGGACGTATTCGTCAGGTCTCAGACAGGAAACCCGGGTCGGTGTCACTGGGTTCAGCTCGCATTTGTGGGAATGAATGAAAGAGTATCAGGTGCACTGCAATACACACAACGCGTGGCCACTTTATCTGTGTCTGACAGAAGGCTAAAGTCACAATCAGACCATCTTCACCACAGAGACTAAGGAGAGCGGCGCAGGGTTATCTTCCACTCTGATAAATACAGATAAAGCACAACCTACTGTTTGAGAGTCCAAGTTTAAACTGCATGGCCATCAGTCAAGCCCAAACCAATAAAACTGCAATAAGGCCAGGCTTTGCTTGACGAATAATGGGTTTCATATGTCAACTACAGCAATAAATATTTTATTTTGACATATGGCGAACACCATTTGGATGCTCAACAAGTGAAAGCGCAAAAACAAAAATAGACTAATTTTATGAATATGTATTGATTGTTTTAGCTTAGAAAAATAGTGCTTCTAATCCATCTGTTCATCTGAGCGAAGCTGCTCCTGGCTGATCATGCCACAGGTTATGGAGGGAAGGTCAGGGTCAAGCTGCAAGCAGCACGTCGGCACAGGAAGACCTCGCTCTTTCTTTTGTGAAAAGACAATGTCTTCCTGAGCAGACCTCGCTCTTTCTTTTGTGAAAAGACAAGGTCTTCCTGTGCAGATCTGGCAGACATTTCTATCCTGCGCAGCACTGCTTTCAACAAGCCTGGGGAAGTACACTAAAGGGACAGTTCACCCCAAAATGAAAATTCTGTTGTCATTAACTCACCCTCATGTTATTTTACAGAAGACCTGCATGACTTACTTTCTTCTGAAGACCACAAAAGCACAACATTTTGTTCAGTACCTGTAAGGTGAACATGATTTCACCAAGTACCACATGTTCCTCCTGGATCAACATCGTTGTTGATCCTGGATCAATATTCCATTCAACCAATCAGATTTAAAGAGACAAGTTTACAGTTTATATCAAGTTTAGGCTTAGAACCAGGGTGAAGTACTTACACATCAGTGTCATTCACATTTCATTACCTTCTGATTTTAGGGGAAAGTTATGGGTAGGGTTAGGTTTTGGGGTAGGGATTGGGTAAAGACTACATTTTGAGACAGGAATGTTGATCCAGGATCAATATGTTAATCCAGGACCATCTCTTACATGGCAAAATCACAGTGACCATAAAGGTAAACTTGCGCTAAATGCAAGTCTTCCAATATTGTACTCACATCTTTTGCTGTCACGTGAAAATAAGAGTCTTTGCATTTTTTACGCATTCCACTGTTTGAATCTAACGTTTTTCAACATAAAAACGCTAGACTTCACTATACTACTTATGACTTTCTTCCGTGTATTCGCAATTTAAGTTCAACTTTAAAAAAAAAAAACATGTCTTCAGGACCTTGTGTTTTTCTTCCATCCCATTGTTCGTGTCTTTCGTGTTTTTTGGTGCCAATTTTTTTTTTTTTTTTTCAGAATTTTTGGCATAGGGTTCTATACTCAACTCCAAAGAACTTTTTATGCTAAAAAGGTTACATTATGACAAGAAAGAACCCTTTTGGCACAAAGGTTCATTATAGGCTATTATTCATTCATATATAACAGTATTCTGCAACATTTTGTAGTTGTAATTAAATTATTGTTTATTAAACTTGTAATAAACAATAATTTGTAGTTGTAGTGACTTAATATCACATTTTAATCATACTGATTTTTGGAGGAGAAAAACTGAAATGGCACTTTTCGTGTGATATTGATTAACTACACAAAATGATATAAATATATACATTTTCTAACCCCCATATCTTGAATTTTGTGATTATTCATAAATACATTTTAGGGTCTTGATGTTTGTCAATAATATGAAATATTTAATCCGGAAAGGACAAAACAAATGATAATGAATGAACCCAAAAGGTTCCATATAGAACCTTTTTCCTGGTTTCTTATTATTGAACCCTTAAAATGGGTTCTGTATAGAACCTTTTAGAGGTTCCAAATATGCTGATAGAACCTTTTAAAGGGATACTCCACGTTTTTAAATAGGCTCATTTTACCACTCCCCCAGAGTTAAACAGTTGGGTTTTACCGTTTTCGAATTAATTCTGCCGATTATCTTATATTTAGAAGAATATCAGTTAACAGGCAGTTTCTGGTCTCATTGACTTCCATAGTATATATTTTTCCTACTATGGAAGTCAATGAGACCAGAAACTGTCTGGTTACTGATATTCTTCTAAATATCTGAAAATCGTCTGAATACATTCGAAAACGGTAAAACCCAACTGGGGGAGTGGTAAAATGAGCCTATTTCCAAAAAAAGTGGAGTATCCCTTTAAGGTTCTATATAGAAACTTTTCTTCTAAGAGTGCAGTATGAACATTCTACTAACTTTCTCTTTTTGGGTTCTACAGAACAAGGAAACAACATAGGGTTCCATTCCTTATATATAAACATAAATAACATCACAAGCCAACAGGAAAGCCTCAAACAACTTCACTCACCTGTGTTGTTCAGCAGCTTCATTATCAGGCAGTTCCATATCACACACCTCGCATCGTTCTTTCTGGGTTTGGACCTCGTGCTTCACACTGGCTGTGAAATCCCCGAGCTTGCTTAAGAACTCCCTCTGAATCAAGCTCTGATGGAAAAGCCCCCCATATGCACTGAAATCCATCGACATGGCCAGGGAGGATGGCACGTGCAGCGACGAGGCCATAGATACAGGCAAGGGCAGCATGCTCTCGCTCTTATGGTTGGACGGGATAGAGCACAGCGAAGCGAAGTGTCTATCAGCCAGGCTGGCCATATTGACCAGAGCCGCTTGGCTGTTGTCTCCTTGGGAATCAGCAGAACTGTCGGCGGAGTGGAGCTCGCGGGCGCTGGTGATGACGCTGCCTCGGGTCGGGGTTCCGGGAGTGTCCCGGTGCTGCCTGGAGTCTCCGCCGCCCTCCCCGTTCCTGGGGAAGCCGCCTTCGTGTTGGTAGTCCTCGTCTACCTGCATCATCTCGGTTTTGATCTTATCTAGCAATGGAGATGCCTTACCAAGGTTATGGGAGAAACTCTGAGCCACGTTGCCTTGGAGGACGGACTGACCCATGCTCATCAGGCCCTCTACCGCCGCTTTAGTCGGACTGACGGTTGAAAGACCCAGCTGGGCGGACTCTGAAGGTCTCGAATCGACCATGCTCACCAGGGCCAGGCGGTGGCGGGCGGCGGCAGCACCATAGCCGGCGTCCTGTATGGAATGCTTTTTAGAGATAAATGTGCTCTTAAGGTACTTGATCCTGCGGTCATCGACATCTTCTGCACCGTTCTCATTCATGTTCACGTCTGTGTCGTTGTCTTCGGACGCCTGGATGGTTTCCAAGATCCTCAGGCATTGCTCCTCCAAGTATTCTATCTCCAGAATCTCTGCGGCGTACAGCAGGTCGTCCAGGTCTTCCAGCCTGGCTTGGAGCGTGGCGGTGTAGGCGTACTCCAAAATCTGCTGGAAGGTCTTTGGTGAGAGGAAGTCCAGAGTGTAATGTTGGCTGTTGCGGTGGAACAGGATCTCAAACATCTTACTAGCACACGCGAGCACGGTTCTGTGGGCATGGAACTCCTGGCTGTCGACCATGATGACCACATCACACAATGTCCCAGAGAGGCGCATCTGGTTGGCCTTCTGCAGGAGCGACGTGGGGTGGCCGGGGTTCTGGAGGTGGATCGCACCCATTTTAGTCAAATCCATTACATCGACATTTACCGAACCATCTCACAGATTTGCTTCTCTCCTTGAGTGCTCCTGTAAAAGTCAATCAGTCATGTAACAAAAACAAGAATGAGCAAAATGTACTACGTCGTGATATGTGCAATGCTCAGTTCATTCATCTCAGTTACACGGGTCACGTTAATCATCATTCAAACAGGTTAACTCAGTGTTTTGAGAAAAAGACAAAGGGGCGTTGTTGTTGTTGAACCTCCTAAAAGAGGCACTAGCCAATCATCGCAAAATGTACTTAATGTTATGCAATCGGAGTGATAGTAGTGGAAAGCAGCCAGGTGAAACGGAGCCGGCGGCATTCGACACATGCCTGAGAGGAACTTGCAATTGTAATATTCTTCTTTTGGCAAGAAGCATAATTTGTTTTAATTGTGCCTTTAATTCTGTAGTAACACCGAGTGACATTCCTGCGGTAGAAGAGAATGAAAACTCACCGCAGGAGTGAGATATTAATCGCACGTCTGTTGCGACTCTGCTCTATAAAAACTGATAAGGCTCATTGTCTAAGCAGTTATATATTACTTAAAGATCATCTAATACTAATTCAGATTTTTTGGTGATAAAGCGTTCAATAACTAATACAGATTTTCATACAGTACAATGATAACTAATAAAGATAGTGAGAGTAGTAAGTTTCACATAAAGTACTAGTACAAAGCCAAAAAAAAAAAAAAAAGTTTATTACAATACACAGTTAGTATATTCAGTTTTCTACTTTGTCTTTTTTTGGTCTCACCAAATTGTGTCATTTATTGTTAGTCCTGATATTAAGGAAGTGGTAATAACTGATTAAGGAGAAAAGTGTGTCAATCAAAAGATTATCTGTAATATCTGTCATAATAGTTAATTATTATTGTATTATTTCAGCAATTATATCAACAAGTAGTTGGAAAATTAAAATAAATAAAACATAAAAAGTCAATTTCATGAATAATTGAATTCCGCATTTATATCAAACGTCAAGATTAAATATTCCCTTTTTTATTTATTTATTTATTTGTGATTGAGTGATTTGCATTCGAGACATTATGGGCATCTGATCAGATATGGACATGGTATTAAAAAGCTGTCGTTGTACTAAATACTTTATTTAAGAACAACGACAAGGGGGAAAGGTACGGATGCACCTTGTCCTTTATGACAACCCCGAATTGAACACTCATAACCAAACACAGATACCGTGAGTGTGAGTTTATTGAACTCACGCATCTTTCTATCTATCTTTGACTATATACGATTATATTAGGCTTGCACATTATGCCAATAAGCAACAGATCTGAGGCAGAGAAGACAGCGTTTCCTCGGTGCAACAGTGTGCTTATGTTTCAACATTATACAGTCAGCATGCACCTGATTGACAAGTTGTTTTAAGCAACATTTACAACTGTTTGTTTATAAACGTAATCATTTTATAACACGTGTCCTGAAAGCATAAATGAACATGGAGGAGACAAGAGCACTTAGGCGCGTGCTGTATCTTAAAAAGACAAGAAACAAGTTGCATCCTCAACGCAAAATGAACCGATTCTCGCAGCACTTTAACCTACTAATAAGCATAATATCGTCGGATTCAGCATCTAGAAGAACACGTTAGGCTTAACCGGTGAAGTTATTGTCACTTACCTGCAATTGGCGCGTAAATTGAACACTTGTTATTAAGGCATCAACATACTGAGGTTCACAGGAGCCGCTTCACGCGCACTACACTCGCCGTTCGGATTCCAATCATCATCATCATCATCAGCGTGACGTCAAAGCAATGGCTCGCCGTTTTTAACTGAGGCGCTCCAAGACGCCGCGCGCAGGATCCCTGTGATTATTAGGGCTTTTAGGATGGTGCTGGTGAACAAAACATCACTGTGGTGTTCCGTTCACTGGTATTAACCCAAAACTTCAAGTCATTTACATATGACTTGATGTTAAAGTATTAAGACCAACTTACAGCGAAATACAGCCTGGCATGCAGTCCACTTACACTTCTCTTAGAGGATATTTAACTTTAAAGAGCATGACTGCATTAAAAGAGCTTAGCTTGACCATGAATGCAGATCAAAAAAAGAATGCATGAGATGAATAAGACCACAAACGAAAGCACAGTGTCAGTGTAGTGAATAAAGACCTCATCTTACCTCATTTCCCAGTCTTATCTGAAGACATGCTGCTTCTTTCCCTAAACGTGCAATAACAGTGAAGAATAACCTAGGAGAGAGTAATAACATAGAGCCTCAGTATTATCCCGTCTACTTAAAGGGGAAGTTCACTCCAGTCCAAACCTTTATGATTTTTTTTAAATTCTTATTAAAAGACGATATTTTAAAGAATGTTTGCAACCAGACAGTTGGCCATAGTATTTTTACATACTATGGTCAACCTTCTCGTTACAAAGTATTTAAAATATATTATTTTTAGTTCAACAGACGTAGGCTAAGAAACTCATACAGGTTTGAGAGTAAGTAATGACAATTCTCTTTCTTTTTTGGGTGAACTATCTCTTTAAAATGGCAATCCCATATGATTACACTAGGTTGTTGTCTTTAGTTTTTGCAAAAACAAAAAAATATGATCTTCATCAGCCAGCTACATGTTAGGTTTTAATTATTGTTATTTTACTTTAACATCACAACGAGCAAAAACATACATACTTTTAAATCAGAAATTGAAAACAAAAGTTGTATTCAAGACATGCATCAAACGACATTAAAACAAAAACTATGAGATTATGACAGTTATTGTTTGACGTACGTAGGTCTACGTGAGTTTGTTTATGTGAAAGCACGTGCGAATGCGTAGTTACCTCGTCTATCTGAGGCTGATGAAACTGTGCCATCTGCTGGGCAAGTTAAATAATTGACACGCTCTTAAAAATAAAGGTTCTTTATTAATGGTTCAATGAAGAACCTTTAGATTGCAAAGAAAGTTCGTTTTGTTGAAAAAGTATTTTTTTTATATATAATGGAAGGTTCTATGACCACTTTTGCAACCTTTTTTTTCTATGTAGATGTTTAGTGTCAAGAGAGGGAATTTCAACTAGAATACAACAAATAATAATACAAAACCATTAATAGAGAAAAATAACAATATTATTCCACGATCGACAAAATGGGATCCCTTCCGCCCTTTTGATTCGATTTTTGATGAGTGTTGGCCAATATTTACTGCCATTTTATTGTAGTAACAATAACCATAGTGACTTTAGTAGCCCATTTTTGATGACGTGTGTGTGTGTGTGAACAAACATACTTACATTTGTTTATAATGCTTAAATAGAAAACGAGTGCTGAACACATCCACTAAATCATGGATTTGCTGTTAGATCACATCATCTAACCATCTGGTAGCCTATTTCACAAACAACAAACTATTAAGAGAATCTTTAATGTTTTAATGAGTTTAATCAAAATGTGTTAGAACAACACAATTTACAACATGTTCTTTGTTTATCAATGTAAAGCTCACCCACACTTCTATGTCATGGGTCAAATCCCCATATAGGCTATACATGGAACGATTTACATTTTTGGGGCAAACTGGCAGTGAACAACTTGTGTACAGTGGGCAAACAAAATTATCTTCCATTCTCTCTAAAATATTATAGAAAGTACCATGAAAGCACCCAGAACAGACACCATTTCTCAACCAGACTGCCATGAACTGGCTCAAGTGAGGTCGCACAATTCAGGCCAGAGATGGGCAAGCAGACGGTCATGCAATGAGGGATGGCATAAGAACTCTTGTCAGAGTCACGTGCCCTATCAGTCCTGTTAACATACGTCATGTTATAAAAGGACAATCAGTGGTTACTGCAAAGCTCTGCAAACTTTCTTGAAAAAAGAAAAAACAACAACATCAAAAAAAAAAAAAAAAATCAAATCACAGTGCACAAGCTTGCAAGTGACAGTGTGAAACATTTCTTCAGAGGTACACGGTATAAAAATGAGCAGAGCAAATTTTTAGAAGCACGTTGGAAGAATGATTTAACGTATAAATCCCAAATATTAGAAACACACGATAACTGTAAAAACTGATCTAATAAAGAGAATCAAATGAATCATTTAAAATCTTTATCAGACTTTCGGTCATATAACAGTATTTTTAAATATCCTATGATATTTTTTGCCTTTACATAACGGACGTTATGAGTAATCATCATCCAAGAGGCATCCAAAATAGTTAAGTGTCAATAAAATATAATGGTAATAAAATACAAAACTAACGAATCAAACCTAGCCCTCAAACACTCAAGATAAAAAAATAAAAGAAATCATTTACACTTTAACAATGTACTTTGCAAATAAAACGTTTATGTATACTGAAAAGATAATTCTCCTGAATAACTTGATGCCCTGTTGTCATAATCATCCTTTTGATGGAAACATGAATGAAGAAACACAAGAACATCTTTGAATATGAATTTGACTCCTCGAACAGAAATTTCTGAAAGTGTAGCCTACTCAAATCAACAAAAATGAAAGGAAATGCCTACATGACTACTGTCTGTAGAATATACACTGTTTTGTTCAGAAATTCATTAAGGGCACTGTTAAACAAACACGTTCCTGGTCACCACGACGCTTCATTCTTCTTTTCATGCTTTACTTTCAGTGTTGTTTGTTTGCGAGAGGGCGTTGGGTTCTGCTCCCGTGCCGGGCACAACTTTCTTCAGCTCTGTGTTTTTGGTCGTCCTCCTCTCATTATCCAGAATTTTCCTGGGATTCAGACATTAAAGGGACAGTTGAGTCAAAAACAACATTTTGTCAGTTTGTTTACTCGCCCTCATGTCATTCCAAACCTGTATGACTTAACGTTACTTTCTTCTGTCCGGTTTCACAAATGAATCGGTTATTCAGGTTGACAAACGGGTCTGAAAGATTCGTTTACGAATTGAGTTGATAATTTCTCAAGTTCAACTCACTGACTCGAGTGGCTTGCGAAGGTTCACACCTCACTGAAGCGACAGTGATCAACTATTTCAACGCTGATTCACAAGCTCTTGTTTTGATTTGATTCGGGTTTATTTTGGTTTGATTCAAATCTAATTGATTAGTGTTACAGACTGACTCAACCCTGACGCTTTGAGCTATATGAAATGTTTTTATTCTATTTGTTCATGAATAAGACTTACTACACTGATGGGTTGTAGTTTAGTTTATTTAACGTGTATGCCACAAAAACAACAAAGGGATAGTTCACCCAAAAATACAAATGTAGGCATTTATTCACATAAACACTCACCACCTCAAACATTAGATATGGTAAGCGGAAGCTCAAGCATGTCCGCTTGTTGTGCGAGAACCAATGAGGTTCATTCTCGTGTTACGCATCACGTTTGAGCTTCCTCAAGAACCAATGAGGTTCATTCTCGTGTTACGCGTCACGTTTGAGCTTCCTCAAGAACCAATGAGGTTCATTCTCGTGTTACGCGTCATGTTTGAGCTTCCTCAAGAACCAATGAGGTTCATTCTCGTGTTACGCGTCATGTTTGAGCTTCCTGAAGAACCAATGAGGTTCATTCTCGTGTTACGCATCACGTTTGAGCTTCCTCAAGAACCAATGAGGTTCATTCTCATGTTACGCGTCACGTTTGAGCTTCTTCAAGAACCAATGAGGTTCATTCTCGTGTTACGCATCATGTTTGAGCTTCCTCAAGAACCAATGAGCTTCATTCTCGTGTTACAAAGCATGTTTGAGCTTCAGCAAGAACCAATGAGGATCATTCTCATGTTACACACCACGTTTGAGCTTCAACAAGAACCAATGAGGTTCATTCTCGTGTTACGCGTCACGTTTGAGCTTCCTCAAGAACCAATGAGGTTCATTCTCGTGTTACGCGTCACGTTTGAGCTTCATCAAGAACCAATGAGGTTCATTCTCGTGTTACGCGTCATGTTTGAGCTTCATCAAGAACCAATGAGGTTCATTCTCGTGTTACGCGTCACGTTTGAGCTTCATCAAGAACCAATGAGGTTCATTCTCGTGTTACAAAGCACGTTTGAGCTTCAGCAAGAACCAATGAGTATCATTCTCATGTTACACACCACGTTTGAGCTTCAACAAGAACCAATGAGGTTCATTCTTGTGTTACGCGTCACGTTTGAGCTTCCTCAAGAACCAATGAGGTTCATTCTCGTGTTACAAAGCATGTTTCAGCTTCAGCAAGAACCAATGAGGATCATTCTCATGTTACACACCACGTTTGAGCTTCAACAAGAACCAATGAGGTTCATTCTTGTGCTACAAAGCACGTTTGAGCTTCTACAAGAACCAATAAGGTTTATTCTCGTTTCTCTCGTTTCTTGTTTATAGCTGTCAAATGGACAGACAGCAATCTCTCAGATTTCATTTAAATATCTTTATGGGGTTTGGAAGAGTTTTATGGGGTTTGGAACGACCTGAGAGTGAGTAAATAATGACAATTTTCTTTTTTGTTTCCTAAAACAGATTGTAGGTATCCACCTTATTCAGTTTCTCTGTGTTTTGTCTCATAAAGTGTCCTCTTAATATTTTGCTGTGAGAAATCGCTGTCTGAGTGAACTATCCAGGTCAATCAAACTGAATTGTAAACTATTTCTGTTCTCTTCGCAAAACAGTATCAGTCAGTACAGTATCATGTAATCTGCATTGACAGAAGCATTTATCAGTAATATTTTACTTGGGCACAGAGGTATTTCACTGGCACGCATGTCCCAATGAAAAGGCTCCAGGGATAAAGTAAAAGATTGATAGGATTTTAAGAATTATTCTCAAATTCGGAACGACATGAACGAGTAAATTGCATTTGACAACTTTTAAATGACTAAAACTATATAATGCATGCACATTCACCGATTCAAATGAACACATGCAGTGAAATTACTACATACAGATAATGGCTACAACACACACACAAACTAAGAGAACATCTAGAGAGCATCTAGAAATCCATACTCGTCCTGTGCTGGAGCAGATGGGCCACTGGAGCCAGCTGTCCCCACAGCATGTGACCCATCCTGTGGGACGTCTGTGTCTGGAGCCAGTGGGAGTTCTCCATCAATCTCAAGTTCATGATTCACTAAGGGGATAGCGACACTGCCCTGTGGGCTGATGGGATTTAAAGTGTCATGAGATGCACCCTGAACAGACTCGGGCGACTCTAATTCGTTTTCTGTGACTTTTGAGTTTGCAACGCCGGGAAGGGAAGGGGGTCCTTCTGACGGGATCACTAGAGGAACCTCAGCTTGTGTTTTTGGGGCATCGCCCAGGTCTACCAGGAGAGTAACATTAGCCGGGTCGGAGGATGAGGGAGATGAGATGGAGGGTTTGGTGTGAGTTTTTGGTGTGCTGCTGTCGGGTGGTGTCATATGGATGGGGTTAGGAGAGTCAGAAGGGGGCGCTGTGATGCTGGAGGTGAGAGTGGTGCTCTCGCTAACTGGGCTGCTCTGGCTAAGGTCAAAGGTGTCAGTGTTTGTGTCTGAGTTAGTGGGCACGGAAAGAGGCAAGTCCACCACTGCGGCGGCAGTTCTTGTCCCTTGCCTGTAAGAACAGGAAACAGAGACACAGACGGGTGATGTCGACACAGAGGGGAGATGCTGAGGGAGAGACACCAAACCATTGCAGGCACAGAATGCGGTTACAAGACATACGCAATACTGATTTGAAATACAGTATTGCATGTTTTGCAAGAGAGGTGATACCATCAGTGGTCACTAGAGGGAGTACTTGATTTAAAATATGAAATATGGGGAAAAGAGTTTAGGAAAATTCAGGATGATGTCAAAGACAACATGAAATCAAAATTGATTATATTTACTTGCCTTATGGAAGTTTTTCCATTAATATATAGGTATTTCTGCACATAGCTACTTTTTTTCTGCTGATCCAAGAAATATTTGATGAACATGTTTTTTTTTAATGTTTTTTGTGCCTTTATTTAGTAGAAAAATGGAGAGGTGACAGGAAAATACATTGAAACCGAGGAGGAACAGGGCGTATTATGACCCCAGGTCAGACTCATGTTAGGAGCCACTTTTCATGACCCAATGAAGGTTTGATAGACACTACCAGTCATTTCAGATAATTTTCCCCCAATTATTTAATTGAGATAAAAAAAAATACATCAGATTACGAATGTTAAATCAGCACTATGTAATGTTTTACAATTATTAAAATGCGTAACACAAAGAAATAGTAGTTCAGAATATTTTAAATCATGTATACTACCATTCAAAAGTCGGGGTAGTAGAGAAAGAAGTCTCTTATGCTCAGCAAGGCCACATTTATTTGATCAAAAATCCAGTAAAACAGAAATATTGTGAAATATTATTACAATTTAAAAGAACTGTTTTAATTTTTTTTATATATTTGATTTTTTTTATTACCAAAATGTTAAAGCTGAAATTTCAGCATCATCAATGTCACATAATCCTTCAGATTTGAAAAAAATATCTTATTTTTAATGTTGAAAACAGTTCTGCAATCTAATATTTGTGTCTTTAACAATTTATAATGCATCCTTGCAGAATAAAAACCAAAACCAAAATAACTGTATTTAAATAATATGTCCCAAAATAACATAAAAACTGTTGAAATCACCAGTCCACCTTTAGCTTCTTTAAAGGACTAATAATGGCACAGAAATTAGACTCTGCAGCTTAAATGCACTGCAAATGTGGTTTCATGTTGTCTTTAAGTGTGAGATTTACAAAGTGAGGAGGTTTGGAATGGGGAAACACTGCTTTCATGGCATTGAAGATAATGGCGATCAATAGCATCAGTTAAAAGTGATTAACCACAGTACTATCACATAACATTGAGCTTACTCTGGTTCGGTCAGTGGGGTGGTCTCATTGGGCTCAGGATGTCCTTCTGCGTCGTGATTGGCTGTGGCCTCTTCCTCTATCCTAACTTCCACAATGGGTTCTTTAGACACATCTTGACTGCATGCAGAGAGAAAGCACACACACATCTGCTCATTATACAGCAATGAGTAGAGTTTGATGAGGTCACTACAGTCGTGGCATAAGAGGAGCTCTTTCATAGTGGTTTGATAACAGAACAGCTTCTGTGACTGAAAATAATTCATGCTCAACATCCATATGCTTCACAATTCAGCGCCCTTGACTGCTCTCGATGAGTGGCGTGAGCTTGTTTGAGTGGATTAAATATAGTATTGTGGATACTCACACAAAGGCCGCTTTGCCCGTCTCTATGTCTTTGCCCTTGGTGCCTTGCCCGGGTTTACCGCAGATGCACATGAGGATGCCACACTTGTTGAGGAAGCAGCAGGTGGCGTCCACGATCAGCAAGAGCAGCACACACACCAATATAAGAATACCAACAATTACTCCAGTGTTCAGGCCCGTTCCATCTTCCATGGAGTCTTAAGGAGAAAGGGGAGAAATACAGAGACACAGACAGAGCAGGAGGGATCATCAACCCAAACTGGAGATGCAAAAAAATGCATGAAAATGTAACAGTCAAGCAAGCAAGAGTTATTTTCAGACCACAACACAAGACTATCAGGATTCAGCAAAGCAAAGACAATCAGTGAAGCCAACAAGGCAAAGCTAACAACTCCCTCTTCAGATGTGATTGTGCACTCACTGAATATAATACACATGTTTGGACTTAAAGGGATAGTTCACCCAATAATTCTGACTCTCCAGCTTTTGGAGAATGTCCTGACTGAAGATGAATATATAAATTCACAAATGTTAAATTCGAAAGTCGTTATTTTTGGACCAAAATGTATTTTCGATGCTTCGAAACATTCTAACTAACCCACTGATGTCACATGGACTACTCTGATGATGTCTTTATTTCCTTTCTGGACAAGGACAGTATATCAAACACGCATTTAAAATGGAGGGACAGAAAGTTCTCGGACTAAATCTAAAATAAAGTCTTACAGGCTTGGGACGACATGAGGGTGAGTCAATAATGACAATTTTCATTTTTGGGTGAACTAACCCTTTAAAAGCACACTATAGGGGTAGATTATCAGTGAATGACTTGCATTTCAATGTATTACTCACACAAAGCTGCCATAAGACTTCAGAAGGCTTGCGTACAAGTCACACAGTATGTACTACTTTAATGTGTTTTTCTGTGTGTGTTATTTTAAACTTCAATCCCGATTCACTCTAATTGTAGGGAAAAGAGTGGCAAGCACGTTAATTAAACATTTATCTTTTTTTGTTCCACAGAAGAAAGTAAGTCACTCAGATTTGGAACAACATGAGCGTGAGTAAATGATGAGAGAATCTTTGTCTACATCTTTTATGCTTTCGTTTTACCACCACTAGTAAAAAAAAAAAAAAAAAAAAATACTCACCAAAACACCAGTGAAAGTTAAGATGATGATAATATGAAAACTGGCACAACAAACACTTTTTAATGACATTAAAATCTTAATGTATCATTTCAAATTACAAATACACTATTGTTAAATACTGTAGTTTTAAAACCAGTAACACTTTTATTCAGCATGGACACATGAAATTGATCAAAACTTCTCTTTCAAATAAATGCTTTTCATTTAAACTTACTATTCATCAAACAATCCTGATTTTTTTATTTTTAATCGCAGTTTCTTCAAAAATATTAAGCAGCACAGCTGTTTTCAAGATTGATAATAATTAGAAATGGTTCTTGAGCAGCAAATCAGTATTAACATCAAATGAATAAATTATATTTTAAAATGTATTCAAATAGAAAACAGTTCTTTTAAAACGCAATACTTTCCAGATATTGTAGTTTTTACTCTCTTTTTAATCAAACAAATGCAGTCTTGGTGAAAATAAGATGTTTCAAAATCTTAAAAAAACTCACCAACCCCAAACTTTTAAAGATATAAAAAAAAGACACTACAACATTAAATAAAAAAAAAAACGAATTTAATAATGCCACATGTGAACAATAGCCCCAGTGATGACTAAAATGCATTGGGTCGCATTCACTAAAAATTGTGTGGATGAAATTAAATAGAATTATTTATGAATTTAAAAATATAGTATAAATAGTCATGATAAGATGAAATATAACTTTTTAACATGATTATAAGGCCGCACAGAGTAAGTGCTTTTTGCGTACGTGTGGTTTCAGTTGTTCCTATGTTTTTTCATAAATTTAGCATAAATTTGAGGACCAACGTTTTTGGTGCATCATCATTTGTTCGTGAAAATATTGATATGCAGCAGATTTCGTACACATGCTTAGTGAATAAGACCCATTGCTATTTTATTTATTTTTTCAAAATATTACAGTAAAGTCTTAGGTAACAAAATAACATCTGAAAGATTTGTTACAAAGTTTGTTCCCAAAGGACTGGTACAGGTTTAGTTCAAACATCCGCAGAAAAAAATGAAGTGTACAGAATATCAGTCAGACAAGACATTTTCTCTCTGCTTTTAATTTAGTGTTTCTCTCATTATTAAGGTCATTTCTGCATCATAAGCAGCAGTACATGGAATTGCAAAAGTAAACGTTGTTTCCAAATATATAGAACAATAGAGACCCACAGAGGCCACACATTATTTTTATTTGGTCTCTAACAACTTATTTTACAACTTCTATGGCTCAATGTTTCATGATTTCTTCACTGTTTTTGTAACTGACAAAGCTCTGCTCCCTCTAGTCTAGGTTATTGATAAATTGCAATAAAAAACAGATCCTCCATGAGCTTCCATTAAGAAAAACCAAAAAGATATGATTAATAAGCACTGCTTTATGGCACTAGGTGTCTAGTCAATTTAAATTGTAGCTTTACTTAAGCAATACAGCGCAAATGTCTATAGACTGTATGTGATAGATAAAAAAAAATTTAAATAAAACTTTTTTTGACAAAAAAACTAAAAAGCAGTAATTTTAAGCATTTGGTCATCTAAAACTGATTACAACTAAAGAAAATACCAAATATATTTCAGAGTTACTTTGTCTATGAGGCTCAGTGTTCCCAGCACATTAGAGAGATACAGAAACAAATCATGCAGAGGATCCTCAACATGAGGAGAAGACATTTCCTCAACTCTATCAAAGCAAAAGCAGCAATAACGGAGAGAGCAGGAGAGACACTAGAGTGCAGGAGACTGAAGAGCCACTCAGAGTGACTACGAAACACAAAGACGGACACAAGATCACAGGCAGAACAGACATTAACACCATAACAACAACAACAACAAAGGGAAGGAGGAAGATGTTGGCACCAGGACGTTTGCGTTATGAGTGCATGTGATGGTCCGTCCATATCCAAGCCCAGGAACAACGACAGGACAACAGAGAAACAAGGTAAAAGGGAAATGGGAAGAAAGAGAGAGAAAGAGAAAAACAAGAGGCAGAAAAATAAGTCAAACACAGAAACAATGTTTCAAAATGAAAAAAGTAAGGTAGGGATAAAAAGAAAAATGAATGAAGGCATAAGCTGAGGGTGAAAGGGAATGTGTTGGGTCATTCTCAGTACATGAGTATTCATAACTTACTGCTGTCGAGATGCAAGTGCCCCATTATGCTATTTTTTAGGTTCCTAATTTAGTTTGAGGTTTCCTACATAAATCCAAGGTTAAAAAATTCGTATAATACACATTGCAGCATGACCTCTCTTCTCGGTGTCTGAAACAACTTGATCAAGGACACGGTCTCTCTAAACACCTCCTTTCATATTGTGTGTTGAAAATTTCCGATATAAATTTCAGCATTTTTACCGTTTACACGGGAACGCGGCGGTGGAGCGTTTTTAAGATGTCCACTCTGGAGGGTGGTTTCACTTTTTTAAACGTCAAAAACGCCGTCGCCGTGAAAACGAAAGGCACATCCGATAAAATATTTTTACATTTTCACCCGCGAGCGTTCTCGTGTAAACAGGGCCTTACTCAGCCCTTGTATACACAGAGAAACGAACAGTAAGATAAAATGGCGTCAGTTTTAAATAAGGTTCCCAAGTCCTCATCGTTTGGAAGTACGTGCAAAGTGGATTTGCTTTCGCAGAGCAGCAAAAAAGCATCTTCTCGAAATTTCGACAACACAAACCAAACTCGTCAAAGTAGATGTTGTTCAGGAGCAGCCTCCATCCACCTATTTTTATGTGCTTGGGATATCGCATGAAAAAAAAAAGGAACGGCTGGATGGAAACGCCAAGATGCATATAAAAAAAAGTTTGAGTCGGAATTTTTTTTTAATAGATAAGAAAACATGCGCATATAAACTACGATGGAAACACATTTACCGAATCAATTCCTCGATGCTAATAATAAATAAATAAATCACGTGACGTTACACGATGGGATGGCATTAGTGGACTAACCAGCGGTCTGATCTTTTTGCACAGCATCTTAAATGCTGTTTTGGTTGTTCTGAAATGTCTGAGCAAAGTCTGTGGTTTAGTATAATTACCTCCAAGAACTGTCTTACACGCTTTTGGAGATTAACACGGTTAATCGATTATTGAATTTCATCTATGGGCTCTGAGATGCAAGTAATTTATTATATATATATATATATGACGTTAAAGGATGAGAATGGGCTGCACATACATACATGACAATTATTATATACTTAGTGATATTTAGCACCAGTTCGTCAGGACTTTTGTTCTCTTCGACTCTCTTTATTCGCAAATCTTTTATGCGATATTCCAAGTTAAATTCGCAACTTTGAATGGAAACATATCTAATGAAGACCATAGGCTGCCATTAAGCTTATTTATTACAAACCTAGGTTTGTGCAGGAAGTGAGACAAATAAATGACGACTCGTTTCAGGCGGTTCAGAATCGCTTCAATCTTTTGGTAGACATTAAGAACATTTATGATGCATTTTGATCTCTGAAACCCTGCAGCCCTTTTATATTAACAAATGGTTATACAACACACAGCATGAAAGAAAAAAAAAAGCATAAATTAAAATGAAAAAAAAAAAAAACTAATTATGCCATCGTCAATTAATACCACTGAAAACCTGTATGATTTTTTTTTCCCATTTAACACAAAAAGAATTAAGCAAAATTATTTTCAGTGATTATAACCCCAAAACATTTAGAATATATTTTAATCTCTGCTATGGTAGTTCTTTGTCTATGGCAGTGACAGCCTTAGTACTTAAGGTGGGGAAAGATTGTCAGAAGTAATTTAAGGAAATTATGATCAATACAATAAAAATGAAATAAAGAAATAAATACAAAAAGTTCCTGAAATGTTCTAGCATAAATGGCACCATGTCCTGAGGAATGACCCAGTTAACAAAACAAGGCATGCAATGGCCCAGCAAATGGTTATGATGGGACAGTAGGAGTTGTTTATTAAACCCTAATGAGGATAAGAACAGGAAGACGTTACTGAAGATTATGCAAAACACACAGAATTAGCACTTCATTTATAATGCGGTCCCTACCACACAGCCCACACAGTTAGAAGCAAGCTATTCATTATATTTGAAGCTAATAAGAGAATACATTTACTTCACTGTACAACTTTTTAACCTCAAAAATGGTTTGAAAAAAGCAGTCGAAGACTGTAAGACGCTGCACTAAACAAACAGCGCTCTAACTCAGAAAACAGTTAATGAAGATGTCAGTCTCGTCATCATTAACTATTAGTTGTTTAGTTCAGTTCTTTACACTCTGTGTACATTTTTTCTTGTAAATGCTGTTAATTCGGTTGTAGAATGAGTTTGTCACTCCCATAAAGTACTGAGCTGTGTGTACAGAACAGGATTAAGCACTAAACGGTGACTTGACAACCGAATTTAGCTGCAGTGTGTGAAAACTTGTTAAAGATATTTAGTTTTTTTTTTTTAATGTGATTTGTAAATAAACAATTACACATTATAAATCCATTAATACATTTTACATAAGTAAAACAATGCTATTTGATAAAAAAGACCCGCTGTGGCCAAAAAGTCACACAAAAACTATTAGTATGGCAGACAGCAACAAAAAGACTGTACTGCAATAAATATTTCAAAAGGTTTTCCATAAGCAGGGAACAGATTCGTTGTTAAGGATGTGCAAAGTGGGCCCACATTAAACAAATCTCCATTGTAATTGGAGCAGTTGTGAAATATGCCTGCACTAGCATTGTAGCTCCAAGATGTACACAGTTCATTAACAAACAGCAGAATAATGCATGAGATTTTATAAAATATTCAGTTAAGAAGTTATGAAATGCCAAATATGATTAAATAAACAGAAAACGTGCACACAAGTTGCTGAAATTGTTATTTCAAGCAAGTGTGTGCTTAAATGTTCCTCAAAATAAATAAATAAATGACTTGTAATGGCTAAACACTACATTACATCACTGCAACACCGCAAGACTTCTATTACGCCAACATCCAAGCTGTTCTCGGGCTTTAACGGGAGTAAATCACAGTAAAAAATAAAAAACACTTGAAACATGTCAGTGCCAGCAACTTTAGTAAAGTTCTAGTTAGGCGGTAATGTGGTCTCATTAGTATGCAGCAAGGAGTGCGTTTCTGTACTCGGAGGTGTGAGTGAGACAAACAGCCTTTGGATGTGGGCCATTCACAGCCTAGTATGCCAAAGAGAGCGGCGATTCAGCCCTCACACGTTCAGAGCGTTAATGAGGGAGAGAGACAACGAGGGACAGACAAAGTTTCTCTGCATTAAGAAGCACCAGATGCTTGTTACATTACAAGTGAAGCAGTGAAGCCCAGCTGTGGCCCTGGCAAGCCTGACCAGAGCGCAAACCTCTCGTCTAAACTGCTGCCGCCCACTATGCAGGGTTCGTAAACAGGAAGTGATTCTCCAACAGGAACTACTGCCCTGCTTCTAATGCTGAGGGTTAGCCTGGTCACAGGTGGATGGAGGCCAAAGCAATAACATCAAACAGACAGAGACTCAGAGTGTACCTGCATGTGAATGCAAGGGTTCTGTTGTTTTGGTCTCTGTAATTCATATTACGAAACAAAACTTGTTTTGCAAACTGACCATGCAAGTTAAATTTAAGATTAAATGGGATTTTTTTTTTCCAATAATCAATGCAGATTTATTTAAACAATCAAAATGCAAAATAATTAGATAGGGGAGGGAACATACAGGTACAATATCTGTTATTGGCCCATTTTAGAAAAAAAAAAAATGATTGTTTGTCTTTGTTATTTTTTTTAAATGTCCATTATTTAATAATAATACTAAATAAGTTACAATGTATTTACAATATTTTATCAAAAATGTATTATATATTATATATAATAATCTAATCTACACACAAATAATATATAATATTTGCTGACAAGTTTGTTTGTTTGTATATGTTGTGTGTGTGTGTGTGTCTCTCTCTCTATATATATATATACATACATGCATACATATACACACTGTATATATGCATACATATATGTTTGTCACACACAAACACATTATATAAACAAACTTTTGTTAGATGCAACTAATCATGATTGATTTGACAGCACTAATAATACTAATACACATCCATTTGTCCATCTATCATAGACACACACACTTATATATATACTTTTAAAAAAATACATAATAATTGATAACATTTTATTTCAGTGTTCAACATTAGAGTTACTAAGTTACATTAGAGTTACTAACTCTAATGTGGAACACTGAAATAAAATATAAAAAAACAACATAATAATTGATAACAATAAATATAACCGCAAAATTCACAAAGTAAAACAAATTACACTTTTTGTCAGGCAGAAACATAATTCTCCAGAGAGCATTTGCTGACTAAATGTCATCACAGTTGATTGTGATCAAAATTGCCCCTCTGTCTCCCCACTTTACACATATGGCTAAACCTTAAACAGCTTAAATGGCCAGCTCGAAGATTGCTATCGGCGTCTCACACCATCTTATGTTATACAAATATGGCATCAAAAAATCCCATTTGAACAAGCCAAATGTTTTGTCCGTGCGCTTCGTGATCTGTCATGTAGCATGACTCACTGTTTATCATGCAGTGTAATTGATGGCACAGACTACATTCACATGTTTGGTGTCATTACAGCTCTGAGTCATCTGTTAAAATCAGTGTGCTTCATATTGGCGGCGAGGGTGAACACAGAGAAGGAGGGATGGAAGGAGAGACTGAGGGAGGGATGCTGGTTACCTGTGGTAGCTGCAGGCTCAGACGAGGTTTTGAAGGTCAGGGTACCCGGCTTGGACTTGCCCTGCTGGTTCTCTGCCACCACAAACACATCATACTCCGTGTCCCATTCCAGACCGGTCAGCATTAGGTACTCGCTCACGTTGGGAAGACGGATCTCAGGCTTCCAGTCAGGGTCTTCCCTCTGTTTAATAGAAGCAGCCATGAAATGGTCACAAAGTTGCAAAAGCAAAATATTAAAGGTAATTCATTTATTTATTTTGAACACTCACAGGTTTGTATCTGACCAAATAATGGGTGATTGGTGACCCGCCATCGTCTTGTTTGGTCCATTTTACTTTGAGAGCATTGCCTTTGGAGTGCAGAGTTCCCTCGAGTATAGGAGGACTGGGTTCTCCTACAACAACAAACCAGTTACAATGACGTGAGAAAAAACAAAAAATGCCATAGCTTAAAGGGATAGTTCACCTAAAACTAAAAATACTTAATTTATTCATCCTCATGTCGTTCCAAACCAATAAGACCAAAATCACCCACCAAATGGTCTGTGTATCAAGCAAGCTTCTGTTTACCATATTTGATGTGCTGTATTTATGTGCGTTGATCAATGTTTATATGTGAATAAAACCCTAAATTAAATCTGTTTGTCACATTAAGTGATTGTGTCTTCAGAACACTAGGAATTAAGAGCTTGATTCATATTGATTGGTTTTGCAATGTCTTTATGAACTTATTGAAGCATTCAAGATTTTGTGGAATGGACTTTAGATGGAGGGATGGATATCTTTCAGGTTTTAATAAGATTATATTTGTAAAAAAAGAAAGAAAAAAAGTCTAATGGGTTTGGAGTGACATGAGGATGAGTAACGACATAAAACAGAATGTCCATTTTTGCATGAACTATTCCTTTAATAAAGAAGAAATGGAAAAGGAGGGAAAGTTTGGAACCAGGACGCAAAATCAGCATTAATCATTGGTATTACATGTAGTGACAAGGCTGATCCATTTGCGATATTTGGCTATTTTGAGATTACCAGCACTGACCAATAACAATGTCAAAAATAACTCAATCCATTTTGACAATTGCTAAAAAACTAAACTTCCTATAGTTTAATTTCAGCCGTTTCGTTTCATGTGCAATTTCCCTGCCAGTAACAACACCAAAAATGAATAATTAGGTACCTTATAGAGTCCTCCATATGTTACATTTCAAAAACTCAGATAGTCGATCCAAAAATACAACTCACAATAACATTAATAATGCAATAAAATTCAGCTACAGTATTAATAATTAAACTATCAACAGACCATTAAAATGGTTGTAGTGACACTGCAAATTCATGTCATTAATGTTTGAGTCAGAAGTTGACACAGTATGAGGCTAACATCAATAAGTTGACATGCCACAGCTTTAAACTGTATTATGCATACTGTACATCAGCATTATTGGCCATCCAGGTCTGCAGACATCGATTCTGGCCAATGAAAAGCCAGTTGACCACTAATGTGTATTAAAAGGTGGCAATTTTCTAACTCTCATAAATCTCAGCCTCCTACATACCAATGATTCCGAGTAATAGAATAATATGACACATGGTGCTTGGCTGGGCCTCCTTAGATGAGTAAGCTGATATTTGGAGGTCACGGTGAACTGTGAACATCCCTATAGAGCATTCATGTGTATGAGCGCACTGTGAATTGGGAATATTTCAATAGTGCTGTTCACTGAGGCCTCTCCTTCACGGGCCATCATGATCCATTTCATTTTAATGACCAGCGAATGCTCGTTTGATTCACTACATTAGTTTGATGCCGCAGAGTGACGCGTAACAACATTGCAGGCGGAAGCCACGCGTGTTCATGGTCGATTGAAAAATGAAGGCATTTTACCCTCATTAAGGGACTAATTAGCTATTAGCCAGTACGAGTAAGACACTTTCCTTCGCACAACCTAACTTTTCAGGTCTTTTTTGTTAGTTCGATCAACTCTTCATTTTGTCTATGCTGTAGTGAAATAATCAATGTCATCAATCAGTTACTTCACTTCTCCAATGGAGGAGGATACATATTTGCAGAGAAGTACGCCACACATATAATTCTCTTTGGATCTTCAGCTACAAAGCACCACCATAACCCGCAAAAACTAAACGAGATGCGATAAAATGCAGTAATTAATCTTAATGTGTTACGAGGTAATAAAAGTGCACACATAAAATGGTAGAAGGACCACTAACTGGTGTGAGGAGTTGCAATCCCAAACTATCAGCTCAGTTAACAAGCAGATATTCTACTCGACTGACAGTTTAAAGGGTCATCCATAAACACTCATGTCTTTAACAATGAAAGCGCAGCACTGCATGATTAATTCCATCCTCCTCAGCTATCGGTCCCTACAGGATACAGTTAATGAAATAATCGTATACACAAGGGAGCAAACAGCAGTAAATTAAATAACTAAAAATAAATGTTTTACACGTTTTCAAAATCACTTTTAATGATTTTCTTCGGGGAATTCACCAATAATTAATTGAGCCGTTTATTTGCACATGCTGTCTGTGTTGTTTTAGCGCGGTGAAGGCATTATGAACACAGAGTAATGAGCAAATACGCCCTAAAATGACCCAATTTGAAGGCTGCTTCTGAATTTGAATTGGCCACACTCACAGGAAGTTGAATTAGAACGACAGGAACTGCAATTCAAAGATGGTGGGTTGGTTTGTGTTTTAATACCGTGGCTATTCACTTGGAGAGTAACAGGTTTATTAAATACTATAAAAAGGCAAAACCTATGGTAAAGCTACAGAAATGGTAAGTGAAAGAAATTCAACACAGATGATGTATTCCAGTAAAGAAAACATATACACAAACTAAGGCCAAATCTATTTTTAAGGCCTAAAAACACAACAAGTTTGTCTCGACACACTTACCTTTCCTAAAAAAAAAAAAAATATATAAAAAAAATTGCTGTGCTATATTCTTTTAAATTTATTGAAATTCTGCATCCAGTTTGCTGCCTCAATCCAAATTTAGGAATCAAATTGGAATTTAAAAGGCATTGTCAATTCAATTAGAACTGACAATGTATCATGGTGCTTAATTTACACAGAAAGTATGGTTGAGCTTCAGTTTATCATATTGATGTGCTCTTAAGTATGTGTTAATGTTTATTTGGGAATAAAAGCCTAAATCCAATCATCTTATAATGCAACCATGTCTTAACTTGGATCAAATGACTTAACTGCTCGATTCATATGGATTACTTTGACAGATTCTTTATGAGCCTTTTTGTCATTTTTGAGGATTTTCAATGAATGCATAAAGGTGAGAGCATATCAAAAATATCTATGTGTGTTCCAAAGATGAATATAAGTCTTATGAGGGTGCCAGAATTATGTGTGACATATTTAATGATAGAATATTAATTTATACAGTAGGTGATTTATCCCTAGTGAAAAAAAAAACTATACCCAAAATGTAATTAAAATACATTTATTTTATACTAAGATTACTAAAAATCATTTAGTAAACAGATTTACTAACATATTGCTTGAGGCTTACTGATATAAATATTAAAATGAATTTTTATTTGGAGTATTTTATTGCACAATGCACATTTCTTAATATATCACTGCTAGTAAGGATAGTATGATGTGATAAAGTAAGATATTTAACGTGTACCAACAGAATACTTGCAATAGTTCCACTTTAGCACAATCAAATATACTTAAGTATATCTTTAGTTGAACCTCAGATCTACTTTCGGATAATTAAAGTGCATGTACAGTAGTATAAAATTAGTTGTTCCAATTTAGCAGACTTTAAGAACAGTACATCAGTTTAGAATACCAAAAGTAAAATCGCAGGGTATTTCTTTTAAACGCATACAATATGTAAAAGTATTTGTAGTATACTTAGCATTAAATAAATGCATTTAAAATACATTTTGGTATATTTATTTTTCACTAGATTTAAATATGCATGGCACTACTTCAGTGTATCACCTGGTTAAACTGGATTGCAAATGGTTCGTGAATAAAAGTAATGATTTGCCTCTTTTACTCATAAAAAGACAAGCAAAATGCAGCCCAACAGACTCCACACTCTTAGAAAAAAAGGTTTCATTGGGGTTTTACATATGAGGCATAGGGTTCTTTACTCAACTCCAAAGAACCCTTTATCCTAAAAAAGTTTCTAAAATGACAAGAAAGAACCCTTTTGGCACAAAGGTTCTTTATAGGCTATTATTCATTCATATATTTCATTATTCTGCAACATTTTGTAGTTGTAATTAAATTATTGTCTATTAAACTATTGTAGTAACTTAATCATGCTGATTTTTGGAGGAGAAAAAACTGAAATGGCACTCTTCGTGTGATATTGATTAACTACATAAACTACATTTCTAACTCCCATATCTTGAATTTTGTGATTATTCATAAATACATTTTTGGGTCTTGATGTTTGTCAATAATATGAAATATTTCATCCGGAAAGGACAAAACAAATGATAATGAATGAACCCAAAAGGTTCCATATAGAACCCTTATCTGTATAGGTTCCAAATACGTAGCGCTGATAGAACCTTTTCTTCTAAGAGTGCAGTCATGAAAACGTTGTAAAACCTATATAAATAATCAAGGTGTGTATGCTAAATAAGTAACTGTGCAACGAAAAGAAAGTCGCAAGAGTTTTCTGTATACACAAATATGAAATTTACATGGAGGTAAAAACAAGCAGAACATCAAAGGACATAGTTTGGAGAGGAGCGGAGGAGCCCTGTAAAAGATTCAAAGGTGTGTTGAAAGGAAATGTGGTACTGTGAAACATGCTTGAAACTGAAGAATAAATAAACCATTGAAATCAACCACTTGCAGCATCTACTGCAGCATTTTTAGGGATTTCCTAATTTGGATATAATTGTACACCGGCAGCAGCATATCCAAAGCAGCAATCGATGAAAGGACGTCAGTGTAGAGCATTTGTAAACTCGCTGCTTGTCAAAATGTTTAGACTGAACATAAAAGACTGAGATTGTCGTACCCAGCGATCACCCCGGGGAAATGTTTTTCAGCTCCAGAGCTTTTGATGTCATTTCCATGGTTGGCAGGACACGGCATCAACTTTTCTTTTTCTTTTTTTTCTTATTCCATATTCACCACGGAAGATAATTTGTGCAGTCAGAGAGCGCAGTGGTTGCTCAAGGGTAACAGTTTCAGTTAAAAATTGGGAATGGATGAATTTTCATGACCTGTCTGAGGGGATTTAATTCTAGAAATGTGACAGGAGTGAGTTATAATGGCTGGTTATGGATGAATGCAGTGATCCTGATGTGAGTGAGGGATAATCCTGTAGCTAGGCCAGAGTGTTTACCTTCTGCTCATCAGTGTGGATGACATCACCAGCACCATGCAAGCCACATGACACAGTCACATCATATGCACGCACATGATTGGTTGAAAGGAAATTGGAAGAGGTTGCATGGAAGATACAAAAATACAGACACAAATGTAACTATGTAAAAAAACAAAGTCAAGGGTTAGAACAAACTGCAGAGAAACATAAAACCAAGCAACTTAAAATGGTTTTAAATCACAAAGATTACAACATTGAGCACAGATGCAGAAACACACTGAGCAGGATTTCCTCTGAGAGATTGAGCATATGGTCTGCATTTAAACAACTGAAAAGCTAAAACTATATATATATAATATATATATTACATATTCTAAAGATAATGACATACTTGCTTATACAAAACATGCAACATAAGGGTATTCTGCTATGTGGCTGTTTTATTGTTCCTATTGTTTCTAAAATCTTATTGCTTATTAAACTAATAACACTCTTTTTGCAACATGATTTGATGAATTATTCATGTGCTCAGCAAAAACGTGTTCAAATTCTTCACGTGCAACTGTAATAGTGATGCTTGCTTTAGAAAACACTACTAAAAAGTTGTCAAATCATATTTCTCAATGAAAAACAGAGGAAACGCTGAAGTATTCATATAATACTGGGGGATAGTGCATTAGTTTTTGGACAAAGCATGTGATACATTAAGCACCTAACAACATTACTGTGTGTTGCCTTGAGATAAAGACATGTTGAGGAATATATGAAGCCACAAAACCACATGATAACGTAATATAACTCTTTGTATTACACATACAGAAGGATCTTTATGGTTTCTGTTTTAATATAATACAATAATAATGAAGAGCATCATTCAGCTGCATAACAAACCTGTGTCCTCAGTATGAAAATGAAAAATCCCATCTAGGGAGCATATGAAAAAAAGAAAATGTTCACTTTTATTTAGTTTGATAACTGTAATTGAGGAAACAACTAGCATATTAACTTAAAGACCCCATTAAAACATATGACGAGACAAGTTTTCTTTAATGCCTTCACAGTTTACAACAGTCATGTCGGTTTGATACTTGGGAGGGACATTCTCATTCTAAAGAGCATTTGACTGGACAAAAATGTATATATATTAGGGCTGTGAAACGATTAATCGCAATTAATCGCATCCAAAATAAAAGTTTGTGTTTACATAATATATGTGGGTGCACTGTGTATAATTATTTTATATTTTTATATAAATACACACACATGCTTGTATATATTTAAGAAATATTTTCATGTATATACTGTATAAAGATTTATATATAATTTATATTAAATATAAATATTTTATTTATAAATAATATTTTGTTCTTAAATATACATGCATGTGTGTGTATTTATATATATATATACAAAATAATTATACACAGTGCACCCATATATATTATGTAAACGCAACCTTTTATTTTTGGATGCGATTAATCGCAATTAATCATTTGACAGCCCTAATATATATATATATATATATGTTCATTTGCTCAGTGTCTACAATACCATACATGGACTTAAAGCCACTCAACTCTCTTTTGATTTCATGGGGTCTTTAAATCCTACATCCACTAGAAATTCTATTAAAAAATAATAAAATGTAAAAAAAGTGAAAAAAAATTATAAATGAATATGGTGATCACAATGATCACAGGGTAAACACTTACTTGTGATAGAATAACCTAAAAGATTCCGTAGGAAGAAACAAAACAAAAACACAAATGGGAAACAAAATAGGGGAAAATCACATAAAATGACAGGATGAAAAAAAGAGAAGTCTGAAAATGTCAAAGGGTAAAAGCCGGTAACAAGATCAGACAGAAATACTCTCTCATCACTCATACATTACCTGATATAGAGTCATTACTCTCTCACGCTAAATGGGTTTTGTTTCATGTACTGACAGGAAATAAATCCTAGTGTACAATGTGTTGAGTGCGTTATGTGGTCACGGCATTTCTGGAAGTCCAAAACATCCCGATGATCACACAAACAACCACCAGGAGGAGTAAGAGCGTAGATGTGAGTGGTGTGTGAATGTGATGAGAATATCAACACAAATCATAGAAATATTCATGTAGTGTGCGTTATGATTGATTTTTATTGATGTTTTGTGGAATGATAGCAGAATTTTATGTCCTGAGAGTGAAGATGATGTCCTGTCAGATTTCCAGTCAGAAATCTGTCAGATTTCTAATAGATGAATAAATCATTGATGTAAGAAATCATTTATGTAAGGTGTGGCCAGTATATGAGTATATATAAAGCAGCAGTAAAACTGCCAAGCGTATAATATTTGTAATATATATTATGATTTGCAAATGCATCACGACCATTAACCAATGTTCTCAATGTGCTGAATTACAAATCTTACATTATTTTCAGTCTTCTGTGATCTTTATTTCTATCCACCGGAAGTCATAATATGCTATTTTTAAAAATGTTCAATTTTTTTTTTCATGTCAAAAATAATAGAAATGTGCTAGTTACATCACTAAGCTTCGACCTATAAATGATTCAAAATAACCACCTGGATTCTCTTGATGAATAATAACCTGTATATGGTGCAAAACAATGGATAGAAAAGTGGGAACGGTTTATTGGTTGTCAAAAAGAGGCAGATATATTAAACCACCCAGGTATCGCCTAGTAAAGGTTGTCCTTCAAAACTCAGAGAGACGCCACAGAGAGGCTAACAATTACTCTGTTGTTATCTGAACCGAACTCTGTCGCTCCTTCAGAGTAAAGGTGAACCAGTCAACCATATCAAGAGCTCACAACACTGTCCTGTACGGGAGGCAGGCACACAAAAGAAGGCATTGCTCGAATGGATGTCCCATGCTGTGCTCCATTGGATTTGTAATTCAGTAAAATGAGAGAATTGTTCAAGGGACTGCAAATGTTAATATTCAAACTACTTAAATCATTAGGGCCTAGTCTTTAGCACCATGAGCACAGGCTGTATCTTTTAGCAACTGCGTCAGCCAAAGACTTCACACTAGCTAGTTGATAAGGTGTGTGGGCCGTCACGCCATGCTGCACTGCTGTTGTGCTCCTGAGAGAGAGAGAGAAGCGTGATACTCACGGACTTGCTCGGTTTTGAAGACCAATGACTGGCTGCTGTCGCCTTCGCCCTTGCCGTTGATGGCAGACATCTTGACTTCGTAATCGTTTTCGGGTTTAAGGCCGGTGACTGTGACTGAATTCAGTCCTGCTGGGAAGCAATGAGAAGCAGATTTAATCAAAAACCCATTAATTAGTTCATGAACAACAGCATGCAAGTTAAATGACATTAAATATCATGGTGGTTAAAACAAACTTAAAAGGATATTTAATTTAAGAATGAAAAGTCTGTCCTAATTTACTCACCCTCATGTTATTCAAAACCAGTATGAATGACTTTCTTTGAGGAAAAGAAGATATTTTGAAAATTTTTGGAAACCAAATAGTTACCATTGACTTCCATTGTAAAAGAACACATTTACATTCAAAATATCTTCTATGTTACACAGAATAAATAAAGTCACACAGGTTTGGAATGACATGAGGGTGACATTTGATCACAATTTTCATTTTTGTTGATCTATCCCTTTAATATATTACATGGTCTACGTTATTAACACTGGAGCATTCATGAAACATGAGCAGAATACATTTGTATATAAAGCCATTTGTTTCCTTACAGTGTCCTTGTTACAGTGTAATTAACTGTAAAAAAAAATAAATCACTATGAAATTAATTACCTACATGTACTTACTATAGGGGTAAAGGTTAGGATTAGGGTTTGGTTTAGGGTTAGTTGAATGTAATTTTGCATAATTTATTGTTACTACTATTATAAGTATATGCAACGTCTAACAAGGACAGTGCTAGGTTTCCATCCACCTATTCTTATGCACATTTTGGGATATTGAATAAATTCTGTATGGAAATGACAAAATTAGCATCAATTCTAAAAATTTGCATTAAAAAAAACATATGCAATAAATTGAGGCGGATATATTTTTTTATCCAATAAGAAGACATGCGCGTGTGTGTCAACCATGATGGAAACACATTTACCAAAATAAATCCTTCAATACGAAACACAAAACTTACGTGACTTTGCCTCAACAATGGATGTGATTGGATGAATCTACAATGCCTGAGCCACAGTCTGTCATCAAAATGATTTGGTAAAAATTACCAGCTTTATTCACATATGTTTTGTGCAATTTTCCAAATTTACCCATAAGTTAAACATAGGTACTGTAAAATAAAGTGTTACCAACCATTCTATTATTCATTCTTTCATTCATAAGATTTGTTTATTTTCTGCTTGTGTTTCATGAATAAACCCCATTACAAGCAAACATAATTCATTGCAACAGAAATAACAGATTCTGTCAACAAGTTCTTGAAATAATTGCAGAAACACTGAACACTTTTATATATAAATCCAGTTATAATGTCAAGGTTCTGGCACCCAAAAAATTCAATTTAGTTTATGATCAAGTAATGGTTGCTGAAAATACTTTCCAAAAAGGGCCTTTAATGTGATTTTTAAAATAAGTGGCCAGTGCTGTTCTCCACCATATAAATCCACTATTAAAATCTACAAACCAATCAGTAGTGTTGATATTCCATATAATACAGATGGCTAACTGCTTCAGTTCATGCGACAGACTTACCATCTTTCACCTCATAGACTCGCTGCACCCATTTCCCTCGACCCACAGCTCTCCACTCGGCTCGGTACTTGAGCACAGGAACTCCTCCAGTGGACACGGGCTCTTCGAAAAGCACCTGAGCCGTGCTGGAGTACGGTAGCACTTGAGTGATGGACGGCGCCGAGGGCACATCTGCACCACAAGGGAGACACTTTACAATACGCAGTGGGAAAATTGCACTTTATCAGCTTATGCTCGATAACACGGTTACACAAGGAAACACTGAGCTATTGTTTTGCACTTTACTGAACAAAAGCTAGAATTGCAGGTAATTCCAAATTTCAAAAAGCATCAAAACACTCAATGTCAATGTGATATTCTACCACCATAAATGACTATATTGTGTACATTTTGAGATCAATACAGAGAAACAGACCAGCTGGTATCATGATGAACTCTCTGGATTCAGTCCCGATCTCATTGGAGGCAGTACAATTGTAGTTGCCAAAGTCGCTCTGAGACTCTGGACTGACCTGGGACAGATCAAGTGAATGCATTAACCTCTAGTCTCATCATTTATCTTTTAAACGTGCATTTTACCACTGTCGTTGCATTAGATGTTTATTTACACCTGACGGTTTGCTCACTGTGTTAAAATATTGATGAGACACATAGGCTGCAGTAGTTGGTAACACTACAGCAACCCTACCTCATCCTGGATAAAGCTTAGAAAACAGGCCCAGATCACATTTCACCCCAAAACCAAAATAAAAACAGGTATAATATTGCAAACACAGAAAATTTAGCTTGCTTTTAAAACCATTAAGAATGTAGATAATAAATGAATCATTATATTTGAAGAAATGTTTTAAGTGAACCTGAGAATGTCATTCAGTTCCAATAGTAGAATTAATATTATTTACATTCAAGACAAAGAGCAAAACATTGATAATAACCATTGTGGCTGTGAATGTGTATGCAACAAATCAGTTGAGAGAATTATTCAAGTACTGTAAATGACAAAACACACAATTTGGCATAATACTGTATTATTACATTAAATCAGTGTAAATCAGTGTATAAATCAAAACAAATCTGTTTCGTAAAAAAGTGATGAATGTGATGAATAGATGAATAGAGACAATGAAAAAAAATCTTCATAGTCCAAAGTAATATAAATAAAATAAATATAAATATAAATAATAATAAATAAATAAACATAGAAATAATATAATTATATAAATATAATATTATATAATATAATATCATATAATATATGTGGGTGTTGATGGCGCAGTGGATAAGACACAAGCAGGTTTGAATCAACTGTTTGAATCAGACACCAATGTGTCCCTGAGCAAGACACTTAACCCCTAGTTGCTCAAGTGTCAGATATAATATAATATAATATAATATAATATAATATAATATAATATAATATAATATAATATAATATAATATAATATAATATAATATAATATAATATAATATAATATAATATAATATAATATTTCTTTCTTTTGATTCAGGGGTGAAATATACCCATCACATGTTCATTGTCCAGTTTTGTTAGATTCGCCCTCTGGGTTCATGTGTACAGTATTTGGAATGATTATGTTCTTAGGAAGGCGTCTGTGTGGGCCGTACCTCCAGGTAGCTGGCGGAAGGCCTGTTGTAGATCTTGATATTGGAGGTGTTAGCGTTAGGCAGCTGGAGGCCGTCTCTCAGCCACGTAATAGACACATCGCTGGGGTGAGCCAGCACTTCACAGCTGATGTTGGCCGGGTTACCCTCCCACGTGTACACAGCTACTGGTCCCAAGATTTTTGGGGAGTCTGTGATGAAAGGCAAAGCATATAGAACTGAAAAACAAACAAACCTACTGGTAGCGCTGGCCCATTATATCCACCGCTTAGTCTCCATCCGCTAAGATAGAACAAAGCCTGCATTCTAATTATCTTTGAAGCCTTAATTCTGAGGATAAGGTGGTAAAAGATCAAACCGTCCATGGCTTAAACATAGAGCTGAGAGCTGAGTGCTGAAAACACAGTGCTTTGTGATGTTGAACACATCTGTTCGTGGCAGTACATAAAAGCCAATCACGCTTCACTGGCTTTAAAGAGGCCCCTCCTCCAAGCATTGTCCCTGAATAGCACACTGGGGGCCGACTGCAGGCTCCCGTGACGTATGTGGTCGGGCCCGCGTTCCCTCACAGACTGTGTGTGAAGTAACTGCCAGCCCGCTGAGATAGTGTTCTCACATTCATCAGAGCTTCAGATGTCATTAGTCCCATTACAGCAATACACGGCTGGTACAAACGCACAAAACATGCGAAAAGGGAGGCTTGTATTTTCACAGCATACGCCGCCGCTAATTCGAAAACAAATACAAACAGGCGCAGTGGGGGGAGTACAATGAGAGAGAAATGGGAGGTAAGGCTTTGCTTGCTATTGATTGCAATTAATAACACTGAGGGAAGGAGAGTGCTTTGTTTTGATGTTACAGCAAAATATGATTTGTAAAAACAAGTTAATTAGAGCTTCTTTGGTCTGGAGTGCCTTATATAGTAGCATGTACTATGACTAAAGTCTACAAACAATTTCATTTGAGAAAAACAAAAATGCCTGTTAGGTTTTTTTTTTGGTTCACTACAAATATACACTCACCTAAATGATTATTAGGAACACCTGTTCAATTTCTCATTAATGCAATTTGATATCTAATCAACCAATCACATGTCAGTTGCTTCAATGCATTTAGGGGTGTGGTCCTGGTCAAGACAATCTCCTGAACTCCAAACTGAATGTCAGAATGGGAAAGAAAGGTGATTTAAGCGATTTTGAGCGTGGCATGGTTGTTGGTGCCAGACGGGCCGGTCTGACTATTTCACAATCTGCTCAGTTACTGGGATTTTCATGCAAAACCATTTCTAGGGTTTACAAAGAATGGTGTGAAAAGAGAAAAAACATCCAGTATGCGGCAGTCCTGTGGGCGGAAATGCCTCGTTGATGCTAGAGGTCAGAGGAGAATGGCCCGACTGATTCAACCTGATAGAAGAGCAACTTTGACTGAAATAACCACTCGTTACAACCGAGGTATGCAGCAAAGCATTTGTAGAGTCACAACATGCACAACCTTGAGGCGGATGGGCTACAACAGCAGAAGACCCCACCAGGTACCACTCATCTCCACTACAAATAGGAAAAGAGGCTACAATTTGCAAATTACAAATTGGACAGTTGAAAACTGGAAAAATGTTGCCTGGTCTGCTGAGTCTCGATTTCAGATGGTAGAGTCAGAATTTGGCGTAAACAGAATGAGAACATGGATCCATCATGCCTTGTTCCCACTGTGCAGGCTGCTGGTGGTGGTGTAATGGTGTGGCTGATGTTTTCTTTGCACATTTTAGGCCCCTTAGTGCCAATTGGGCACCGTTTAAATGCCACGGCCTACCTGAACATTGTTTCTGACCATGTCCATCCCTTTATGGCCACCATGTACCCATCCTCTGATGGCTACTTCCAGTAGGACAATGCACCATGTCACAAAGCTTGAATCATTTTAAATTGGTTTTTTGAACATGACAATGAGTTCACTGTACTAAAATGGCTCCCCAGTCACCAGATCTCAACCCAATAGAGCATCTTTGAGATGTGGTGGAATGGGAGCTTTGTCCCCTGTATGTGCATCCCACAAATCTCCATCAACTGCAAGATGCCATCCTATCAATATGGGCCAACATTTCTAAAGAATGCTTTCAGCACCTTGCTGAATCAATGCCACGTATAATTAAAGCAGTTCTGAAGGCGAACGGGGGTCAAACACAGTATTAGTATGGTGTTCCTAATAATACTTTAGATGAGTGTATGCATAGTACTGTATGTACTGATTTGACAAAACTTCGTGCACTAACAGCCTTGTTTTTATTCAAATGAAACCCTAACCATTGTCCTAACCAAGCATAACTAACACAACAACAACAACAAATAAATAAATAAATTCAGTTTTTTCCATGTAAATCCTAACCATTATTTTACTAACCAGCCTTAATGAGCAACAGGACAAAATGTATTGGGATAATTTATTAATTAGTTTATTTGATATGGACCACGCATATTCATGAACATTGTTGTATGATAATACACCATGTAAATATGCCAGAATTAGTAAAAAGATACTTCTTTTTATCAGTAGTCCCTAAAATAACATCAATATTAGTTTAGATAATTTATTAGGGATGCACAATATATTGATAACATATTTATCAAATATGATGTTAAAGATTTATTATTTTATACGGTATTATATTACATATTGGCTGATATTGGATATTTAATTGTAAATGCTTTTTTCTTTTGATTTTTGGCCATAACATCAAAAAATATTGTCATCTGCAAGAATTTTAATATGCATGCACATCCCTAATATTCCTTTAAGTTATGATTTAAAAGTTCTCCTAGTGGTATTAACAATAAAACAATTATTTGATCAATCATTTTAATGACAATAATGAAAAATTGACATTCCTAGATGTCATGTAGAATGTGGGCACACAAAGCCTTGCCCTTGGTGAGAACACAGCGTGATTTAAGGCCGTTTTCACATCATGCGTGCCCTGTGGTGGGGGAGGGGGTGGTGATGTTGGGGGGTGGCTGTAGTTTTGATGCATTAACTATCATACTATGCTCTCTGGACTGCAGCCGAGCAGCAGTGCTGCTGTGAATTAAACATATGCCTCTGAGGCATATCAGTGTGGTATCCAACAGTACGTGTGAGTGATAGAAGCTAATGAGGCTACAGATATTATAGACTCACAGCGCACTTCCAGATACACGGGCTGCGACGTCTCTCCGATGGCGTTGCGGGCGGTGCAGAGATACTCGCCGGCGTCTGTGTATTGAGCGTACTTCAGGGTGAGAGAAGACACGCGGGCGTCACTGCGGACCAACACTTCACCATCAGGACTCTGAACACAGGGACAAGGAGGGAAAATTCACTGAAAAATTCATACTTCCTTCAGCCATTAAAATAATAGTTTTCCCCTCAAAAAAAAATTCTGTCATCATCGGTTACTCACCCTCATGTTATTCTAAACTAGCATGGCTTTCTTTATTTCCAGCACTACAGGCTGTCAAACTCCCCCCCCCCCAAAAAAGCACCATAAAAGTGGTTTTATGGCTTCAGAAGAACTGAAATGTGCAAGACATATATGAACAATTTTTGGGTTCTTTTATACTTTACATTTTTTGAGCTTTTAGTCATTTTACACAGAAAAGCAACTATTTCATTTTCACAAGAATGAAATAAAGTCAGATGAATAAATGATGACAGAATGTTAATTATGGGTTAACTATTCCTTTAAATTAATGAACATGTTTGCTATAGTTTGAAAGTCTTAAATCTATTTCTATATATTCCCTTTATAAACGGTCTCAGAGAAAATCTTAATTTTTAAGTATGTAAGAACAGAAACATATAAGAGAAGCAAACCTGGTAGGTGGTTTGCCGAACGGCAGACATAAATAAGAGGCTTTTATGTGCTGAGTCTTTGGAGAGATGTGAGGGGGGAACATAAATAATGCAGACATAAGGTAGGGGAAGCCATTTCTTCAGCGCTGTTACTTCATCAAAAGCTACGTCACATGATCTCAGCTGGCTTGGACCATTTTACAACGTCCCAATGCTCATTTTGAAGACAAGCATAGATCTTAACAAGCCACACTTGCATTTTCTTTTAGCTTACTGTTCCACTTAACCTTGTGGATCTTATGAAGATGAGCGGGATCTACAGTATAACCAACGTTTCCTCAATGACTGAGAAATTTGCATATAGCAGGGGTGTCAAACACATGAATACACCCTGTGGAGGAGACTAATCTTGCCCATGGGATGGTTTGAGAAAAGAAAAAGAAGACTATTGTACAATTTTGCTTTATACATTTATTAACAATTTTACAAATCTAAGATGTTTAGATATATTTACTGGTAAATGGAAAAGTACAGATTATATACAGTACACTACTGTTCAAAAGTCTGGGCTCTGTAGGTGCATCTTAAAAAAAATAAAAAAATAAAAAATATATATATAAAACCTAAAATGGTAATATTGCGACTTTTTATTGTGAATATTTTTTTGTGAATATTTCAATTTTAATATTTTAAAATTAAACATATTCCTGAGATGGCAAAGCTGAATTTCAGTGTTACATGATCTTTCAGAAATCAATCATTCTAATATGCCAATATGCTGCACAAGAAACATTTCTTAATAAAATAAAATCATTTTTAGAATAGTTTTTGTATATTGATCACTGTAGGGCAAAAATAATTATTTTCTTTCAATTAATCACCGACCCCAAAATTGTTGTAAACATTACATTATATTGCACAAAATTTGAATAGCTGGAACAAATCACTTCTTCATTCCAATAATCACTTATATTTATATATATGCATATATATATATATATATACATATATATAAATATAGGTGATTATTGGAATGAAGAAGTGATTTGTTCTAGCTATTCAAATATTGTGCAGAAAAGAGAAAAACTATTTGCTGTGCATTAAACTGAATACTTGGGCTGAACAGATCTCAGAATGGGTGGAATGAAATCACTTTCTCTTTCAAACATTTACACACATACACACACACGGCGGTAATGAGGACAGGAAATGCATTGAAGTTTCGAAGACTTCATCAAGCACAAAATTAGTATTCCTCGCTTCACTTGGAACTGAAAAAAAAGAAACTCCTCTCTACATTTCTGGTCATTCGCTGCCCCTCGCACAAACTTTGCTATGAATGAACTCGGGAGAAGCACCGTGTCAGAGACAATAATTATGCCGGTGTCGTCCCGGGACTGAGTCACGCTTACATAATGCTGTGGCTTTTCCTCCAAAAACCATCCAACAGCCACCCAGCAGAGCTGACTGAGCTAATTGAATAACCTCCTAATGGGAGTGCTGAACCCCGTCCTGCCCACTTCCGGCCTTCTTTCCCACAGTTTTCCCTGTCTGCTGCGGTCAAATGGCCAGACCGTGACCCAATATGCCATGGGACGTGCTCTCATCACTGGACTCTGGTTACTGTGCGTTACTGGGCTCAGATCACGACCCGTATCTTTGAATCTCTGTGGCAAACAGCTATACATTTCAATCAGCACATTCAACTGACTTTATCTTCGAAGATAAAGCTCTATTTATTCATTTGCAACGTGAGAACGCTATATCATTAAAGTTTTAGAACCATAGTTTTCAGCAGAAAGGTCTTTTTAATAATGCATGCCAGCCGTCTGCAAAGCTTGGATGGAGGTGGTTTGCTCAAATGTCTATTTTTGTCAAGGGGGGAAAGGAAACGTCTCGGTGCGAACAACAACAAAAAGCATTTTGTGCAACATTAAATACTTAAAGGAAAAATACATCAAATCACAATAACATATTTTTTGGGGAAAAGGAAAAACATGATCAGACATTATAATGTTTTTTTTTTTTTCTAAATATGAAACCTTAAGAATGCAGCCGTCATGATTATGATGGCATAATGTAATAAAACAATGTCATAATGACTTGACTAAATGAAAAAAAGAGCATGCACTGAACAGAAAGTGAAAACTATCTCAGGTGAAATAAAGACGTCATCATAACTCAGTAGATGGATCTGATGAGATTTCTGAGATTTGATCGGACAGGAAAGAGGAGGTTTATGGAGTTGATGGCTATCTTCATAATTTAGTTTATGGAGTCATGGATATGGAATCTATACCTTGTGCTGTTCGGGCCGAGTCCAAGAGGCCTGCGAAGAACAGACAAAACACAACACAAAAAGGCAAAGCAGTCCTTTAGAAGGAATCCTCTGTTATTGCACAATCAAGACATGTTTACTGATTTAGCATATGGGATAAAAAGCAATATTACAAAGTAATGCAATTTGTTTTAATCAAATAAAATGAATAAAAGCAGATTAAATGTTTTGCTCTTTTTTAGCATCACACACTCATTTAGTTAAACAGACTTGAATAAGCTGGTCATTTATTCTTGTTAATTAAAATGAGCTTACACATTCATATTTTATAGCTCATAAAATAATAAATATAAAATTATTGTTGCTTTATGAAAAGGCATAGGGGAGGAAAAAAAAGTTGTTGTTTTTCCAAGTGAAAGTCTTGAATTTGAAGTAAAATAAAAACATTAAAAACATTCAAGATAAACTTAATTGAAAAGCAAAACTGTGGAAGATAAGACGGCACTTTTTATTTTAAGAGAATAGATCTTTTATTAAGTGTGTGTTTTTATTACCCCATGGGCAATAAAATGTTTGTTTGTTTCCCCCCCCAAAAAATGTAGTGAGGTCGGTGTAAACAACTCTTACTATCTATAATTTTGCCTCTCAAGAAAATAGATTTAGTTTTAAGGGTATTACTGGAAAACAACATAAAAAAGATTTTTGCAGAGCATTATAGTGACTTAAAAAGCGGTTCTTAAAAAATCAGTGCTACTAATATCAATAAAAAAAATAAAATGCTTTATGTAATAACTTCCTTTTCAATTTGCAGAGAACAGGACCACTTCATTTCTTGGGATACACTGAATACTTTCATTAAACACAGATAAACACTTCAAGCAACACTTTCCCAATGAAAGTGGCAGAAGTTCTCTATGGACTCACGTCACTTCACGTGGAGGCTGAGCGTGCACATGCTTAGTAACACGATGAAATGGACAGGAAATCAATTGACATGCTAGAACACATTCAGATTTATCACCAGACAAAACACAAGAACAACAATAACACCACACTAATGCCCCGTCACACCACCAACGACATCATCTCTTGCCTCTGTACTATTGTAAAGACACTTCCTAATGCTGTCGATCTGTTCTTGGTAGATTGAATGTCTGGCCATATCTTTAGAAAATGTAATGACATATGATATATAAAACTAATATATTCTAATTAGCCTAGGAATTAGACTAAGTACAATTCTGCTGTTGGAGAGTGTTGCGATCTAAACCACAGTGCGCCGTGCATTAAATCATTAACCAAATTAACGATCGATCAGTCAACTAATTAAACTCGATAATTGTTACGTCCTAGGGTGTAATTGTTTTTTTATTTATTATGTGTGCAATGTTCTGGTGTGTTTTCGTTGTTCTCTCTCTTTCTCCTCAATGTAAGGCTTAAAGCTACACTGTGTAACTCTTTTAGTTTATTCTTAGCTAAAAACACTTAGTTATTTAAAAAATATGTGTGCTCATTAATGTATATTTACTGCGTTGAAGTAATAAAGTATTCTCGTGAGTGTATAATATGCCATTGAAAATACATACGGGTAAGGGGTTCTAATGTTGGTCGCCATGTTGCCCCTCCATCTTGGAAGTACATTAAGCAAAGAGGGACATACCCGTTAATTCAAGCTTCGCCTTTCGTTTACGTTTGAGTTAACACTCATGGACGAGGTTGAACTGGAAGCCATGTTTTTCTTGGACTACATTGGCCACCGTAGGAGTTAAAACGTTAAATCATATACATTTTTACCGCTAGATGAGGGTAAAAATCACACAGTGTAGCTTTAACGGTGACCAGCTGACACTGGTTTATCAGAGAGGAAACTCAGCGGTCATTTTGTCTCCAGGTTGCTAAGACTGTCTTCTCCTGCCTCAGACATTAGCATGTGTGCTAAGTTTGAAAGTGTGCTTTATATCTCCTTGTGGGTTGTTGCACAATTTATTGTAAAAGAGCTTGAAAAAGAGAGGGTGAGTAGTTTTAAGTATCTGGGGGTCCACATCAGTAAGGATCTCACCTGGACACTTACTGTAATACCACCTAGCTGGTCAAGAAGGGACAACAGCGGCTGTACTTCCTTAGGATACTGAGGAAGTTTGGCACGTCGACTAAGATCCTCCATAACTTCTTGATGAGCATGTGGTATAGAACCACTACTGTGAGGGACCGCAAACGTCTGCAGAGAATTGTGAAGACTGTGGAGAAGATCATGAAGACTCCACTGCCTTCTCTGCAGGCCATTCACCACAGAGTCCACAGGAGAGCTGCATTTAGCATTAAGGATCCTACCCACCCCCAACATGGACTGTTCACACTTCTACCCCCGGGACGGAGGTGTGGAAGTGTAAAATGCAGGGCTTCCAGGCTTAAGAACTCATTCTACCCCTCAGCTATTAGACTTTTAAATAACAGATAGCATTTGGACATAGATTAGTCTAATCTCATAGTAGAATATTAGGACAAATTGTTGCATCAATTGCACATCTTTAATTAATGTTGCCATTTATCAAGGAGAGGCACTCAAACTGCACTTTAAAGTATTATTGCATTGCACAGTCAGTATTGCACATTTGCATATATAGATTTACTATATTTAATTATACTCCTTAAGTCTAACTCTTATTCTATAGCATTTTTATTTTGTGTCTGTGTATAGATCAATCCGATCTCACAACGATTCGTATGCATTTTATGAGGCGTCTAAATTCTCGTACAAATTCGTATGAATTATTGTAAAATATGTGTGAAAAAAGTGTGAAACGTCATGAGATCAGACATAAAACAATAGTGGGTTTAACATCAAAATCTATTGTCTGATGTTAAAAATTAGGTTTTTATAATGTAACCTTCTCCACCTTGGTCTGTTTAAGGATAATTCATGCAATTTTATAGTATTTATTTGAAAAAATTCAAACAGATTCATGTCTATCCTTGTATTATTCAGCTGGTTGAGATTGATATGGGATTTTGAAAGTATTAGTAATTAAAAGTATTTAAATACTTTTTAGAGAGAGTAATTAGTACCTAATAATTAATTATTTTTTAAGGTAACTTACCAAACACTGGTCCTGACATTCATTGTGGACAGCAAAGTAAGAATTTCATCGTACTGTGCATATGGCAATAAACGCTTTGACTTGACTTGACTTTGACTTCACCTAAGCAGACCGGGCTAATTATTGCTAATCAATTTTCCTTGATGTGCTTAAAAGAGCTTTAAGTTGAAACGGTTTCTAATTATCAATCTTTTAGTTTATTTAGGAAGTGGACGCCATTTAGTTTGTGTCCATGTTTTTCTCCTGTGTTTGGATAGAGAGGAAGTAAGAACTTTGAGGGGAACCAATTTCTAGCTTTTCAAAATGAAAAACAAAGTCATAACTTTGCTTATTATTTTGGCCTTATCCCCTCCTGAAGCCTTTTTCCACTTCGGAACAACCAAATAAAATGTCCCTTTTGAGTCTTTCAAATATCAGTGAGATTTTTGTGGATTGCTGGGACAGGAGAGAGCTCCTGGTCATGTTAATGATAAACTTGGCCCAGTTCAGATGTAAGATTTTACATACCGTCACGTTATAAAGACAGTTGTGAAACGTAGACAGTGAAAAAAATCTATTTTTTTTCCTCATCCTGCATGCGCCTAAATTCGCTGGCTTCAGCAGCATATCACACTATAAATAACGTCCTTAGTGTTTACTTCCGTATGACAGTAGGTCAGTCCACGACTATGATCTGTTCACACTGGAATCTGATTTAAAACAACAATGTGAACAGCTATACATAAAATAAAATTAATATCAGAGCAATAAACTGAAATTGAGCACTAAGTAAATTGAGTTAGGCTCGCAGTGTGAACGTTGACAATTTGTATTTCACACATCATTTTATTATGCCATTCATCGTATTATGACACTGACAGTCTGTACTCTAAAGTAAAAAATTCTGAATTTTGCCACATGAAGCCTACATTCTTCCACCAATGGTCACTGTCGCTTGTGTCGCCGGAAGTCGCCAGACCTCCATTGCAAATGAATGGGATCATGTCACTGGCGTTGTGAACGGAGCATTCGTGCACTTGAGCAGAACAATGTGTCTCTGTACTGTGTTTGCAACAACAACAAAAAAAGCCAAGAACTGAACAGCGCAAGTCATTTTGCTAGAGCATCAGAAAAAAAAAAGTAAAAACCCTTGCAGGGTTGTTATGATGACAGCAGGCTGAGTCTGCTAGCCTTGCAGCTTTCATTTGGCTAACTACTTCCCTAGAGACCCGCATGGGATAAACAGTTATGATCAATGCCTTTTATTCTGCAATGCCGTGTAATTGCTACTAATTAAAGTTAATATCTTAGTATAAACTAGAGCCCTAGGCTAATGGCGAATGCTTGAATGATATTTTCAAGCTGAATAAAGTACCAGAGCAAAATGAACAAGCTGCTTATGTAAATGAAATGTTCAGATTATTGTTGACATTATTACATGATGATCATTCTGATTACATCAGGTGCACGACGCCTCAGGCCTGCTCTGATATCTCAAATGAACAATGAACAAATTGCAGGTATGCCATGGCAGATCTACAACTTGGCAGCTTATTCAAGCAAGAGTTTATAAACTCCTCAATAACACACATTAAACCGGAGCTAATTCGAGAATCACATTGTGCTTCGGCGATACCATGAGGGTATTTCCAAATGCATGAGGTGTTAATTATGAAATGCAAAAGAACACTTAGAAAAGTTTTGTGCAGCGGAGTGAAGGAGTATGGAGCACACGTGGGACAGTGGCATTAAAGGAGTAGTCCACTTTGAAAAAAAATTTGCTGATAATTTATACACATGTCATCCAAGATATCCATGTCATTCTTTCTTCAGTTGAAAAGAAATTAAGGTTTTTGATGAAAACATTCCGAAATTTTCTCCATATAATGGACTTCACTGGTAACCAAATGGTTGAAGGTCCAAAAGACAGTTTCAGTGCAAACTGCAAACTGTTCAAAGGGCTTTAAGCGATTC